TGATCCATCTCTTTGATTTCCCATGTTGGAATCGACGTTCGAATTAGCAAATCCTACACCGATATCTGAATAAAATACTAATTTCAGCTATGTTGTGTCTCGCTGGTCACCTAATATAGCCACTGTTGTTCGCGATATCATCATTCAGCCTGATCAAATCAACCCACATCAGGATCTGAAACGAAAAATTATCGAAAGATGTTCTGAAATAGACTCAAGAAATTTGTTGGCTACTAGCAGATGAAAGCCTCGGCCACTGGAAGCCCAGCATTATGAAGCATCGAGCAGAGAATCCCAATATCGAGGACTCATTCTTATTTCTATTTAATAAAGCGATGCCTGTTCCTGTCCAAACTATATTATCCTCGCTGTCTCCTATTACTTCTGATAAAGCGGCAGAAGTACCTGGCCGAATTTTGGCTATAGCAACACGAACATTTCTACGATCTTCTCTAACAAAGACACTTCTCTGGAAAATGCCAGCTATTCCTCTCCGGTTCTTTTCCGTCAGGAAATCAAAGCTCTTAGGGAAGAAATTTCTGAATTTTGACGCTCAAGGAGTTCATCTTATATTTTTCTGGTCGCAAACGCTCCAAGTCGCGTGACAGCATGTTTTGATGGTATCATCGAAATTTCAAGAACAACGAAAAAAAAAAAAAAAAGGTTTTTCGTCGTGTTCCTACGCAAGGTAAATTTGACGAAGGAAGAGCAGAGGTGACTGACTCTTTCCCCACACACACACACATATCGCGTCGCCTTTTCATCATAGACAGATCTACAGGTAGGTGTTTTCTAGTAGATTGAAGACGTGATGCCAGTTAAATTGTTGCCAATAAATCTGAATTGAAGGCACCAGTGCACCAAACGTTTTGTTGTGCTTATGGAACATCCATAAATGTTTATGGTCATAAAACAATTACTGTTATTTTGATTTAAGATTTATTTTTTCTTTCCGTTTTCTGATTTACGTAATAAGTGTCTAATTGATTTAACAACAAATTTTTAAGTACCTGCCAAATTACATACCTGTAACATTTTTTCTGTAAAATCATCTTGTGTTAATAATATACTTGGTAAATTATTGTTACAATATCCTGATAGTACTAAATTACCGATCAGAAACCCCTTAAATTTGCATTTCAGCAACATGCTGACATTGCAGTCCTCGCCAATAACGCCATTTGGATTTTGTCTCCCAGTTTACCACTAATATTAAGGATCTAATGACATTATCGCCGATGGAGTATCCCGAATTGAGATAGACGATAGTTTATCTACTACGCTCAATTTTCAAAAATTCGCTGCTGCGCAGTCAAACGATGAAGAGCTTCAACAACTTTCAGCGTGTAATACGTCCTCTTTAAAATTAGAGAAACACTATTTTCGTCTTGAGGATATTCAACTGTACTATGACAAGTCCCCATAACATCCCCATCCTTTTGATCCCCAGGTCATGAGATTAGCAGTTTTCAAAACCCTACATTTTTTCTGACATCCCGGTACCTCAGCCTCCCTCGATTTAATCGCTACACGTTTTGTATGGCCTATCATGCGAAAAGAAATAAAATCCTTTGTGCGCAGCGGTGATAAATGTCAAAGAGCTAAAATCGCTAAATACACCAAATCTCCTATTGGTACATTTACTGAACCTGATGCTCGTTCTGCCCACATACCTTTCAAATTTTATAAGCCCTCTCCCTTCATCTGACGGGAAACAGTTTTGCATGACTATCATAGACCGTTTGAATGATTGGCTGGAAATTATTCCAACAACCGACATGACTGCGACATGCTCGTGCCTGCCATAGTATATGGCTGGATATTCAGATTTGGATGCCCAGTCACACTTACATCTGTCCAGGGTAAAAAATTTCAATCTAAATCTTTTTAGATAACTTACACGCACGCTTCGGAGCAACTGGATTCGAACCTCTGCATATCACCCCCAGTCAAATGGAATTATCGAACGCTTCCATTGGCATCTTAAAACATCCCTTAAAGCACATAATATAGCGCAATGGACTAAAACTCTTCCACTTGTCCTCTTAGGGATACGCTCAACCATTAAGGACGATGTCAAAGCAACGTCTGCTCAACTTGTTTATGGCACAACATTAAGATTACCTTCCGATCTAGTAACCGGTGATGCCATATACCATACCTTCATTTCCGCACACGTCAACAGTTTACTTCAAACAATGAAGTCTTTAAATCTTATTTCTACTGTCCTACACGGTAGTCCTAAAATTTTCATCAATCCTTCATTAAAAACTTATCCTCATATAACTTTTAAGATCTGGCAAAGTTAATCCTCCACTGACACCACATTATACTAGACTTCATTTAGTCGTTGACAGAAATGATAAGAATTTTAATAATGATGTAAACGGAAAACATACTACAATTTCAATTGATCGTATAAAACCTACTTCCAACTTGCCAGATGACATCAATCATTTTCCGGCTTTACCTCTTCCGGTTTCAGCTACCTTCCCAAAATGCTTTAATTAAACATCTACCTTTAAGAGTGGGCGTAAGATCCATTTTCCAAAGCATTTAGTCGCAGACTACCTTCCCTTGAGTACAAATTTATACTATATTTAACGTTTTGTACTACGCATATGTTCCTACTGCACCTGTTGCGATGTATATATCTTTATTACACTGTACCTTATTTTCTGTATTTAATTAATTTTTCATTACATCACCATTTTCTGTTACGTATTGTAAATACTTACCACCATCTGTAATCCTGACTTCGTCACTGGAGGTATTTCATCATGCGAGCGAGAGATGTGCCGCATCAGCCAGTCGGAAATGGACACACATGATGTGTATGTTTCACGTCGCAAACTACTCTCTCCCCTCAGCAGTTTTTCTGGCGAGTGGCTGCTACAGTGCTCCCGGCATGAATTAGGAAACACGTGGAATAAATTATATTTTATACGTATTATATTGCTTTGCTGCTTTGTCAGGTTCAATGTTCCGTCTTACTTTCTTCGGGAACATGCAAGGACCTGACTCGGAACAGAAAGCTTACTAAAGCTATGTTCAATAACTGTGGGAAGTAGACAGGATACACAAGAAGGGTATACAAAACCCTTTATTTTTTTTCTATTTACAATAACTTCCGTACTTCGGAATACACAGACCCACTACTTGTGGTCTAAACGTAAAAATATAAAAATAAAACTAAACTCTAATTTAACTTTAAAATAATAAACGTGGAAGATTGGCCTTATATTAACAGGAAGCCGTATGTAGTACAGAGAACTGTGAACACTACAATACGTTTAAAGTTATCAAGAGGATTAAACCTCTGGCCTGGAAGGCAACCAGCAACTGAGTAAAACTTCTAAGGTAAGCGGCCTGCTTCGACTAACTGCTTCCTCTCTTTCGCTTGGCAAAAAGCCACAACTTAAGTACTTGGCGTTCGCCAGACAAACTTTGCATAAATACGTTAACGCTTATAATTCTGGCCGGAAGTAGAAAATAAGAAGTGATAGTAAAGATTTAAAATAAAATAAACGTTAGTAAAACTTAAGATCCTTACAGCTTCATTAAAATACGGGAATCAGACCAACTAACGTAACTGTTCAAAAATATTATACATTGATTAGCGTGCACAGTTCACAACTAAATTCTGAACACTGAACCTAGTTTATTTCTCTGCTTTTTAGTAACAGTATCAAATCGAATTTTTGAATTAAATAAATTTACGTAAGTCTTGCACCATATCAATTAATTTATATTTTTCATAAATATTTTTATTACATGTAGTGGATAATTTCATCATAAAGAAATCTCGTCTTGACTGATGAGACTACCGCTAGCACTCATAGATTTGTAGATGGTGCAAAAGAGGTTAAAAATGTGAAATTTACTCGAAATGTCAATGGATTGTACGACGAAGAATACTTAAAATCCGGATTTCTTTGACAGAAAATACAGATTGTCCAACTTTTCTCTGCACTGTATGTGGAAAGAAATGTGCCAAAAGTGCGATGGTGCCCGCTAAAATTAATGCATTATTTTTTAACCGAACATAATAATGCTTCATTAAAAATTAAGAATACTTAAAAAGGCGTTTTTGGAAACTCAAGGTAAACAAAGAAGACAATTTGCGTATAAAATTTCTGAGTTAGTAGCATTAAAATTAAAGCCACACAAGGTAGCAGAAACTCTCATTTTACCTGCTTACTGTGAAATAGTGACAATTATGCGTGGGAAAGAAGCAAAAAAGAAAAATTTGAAGGTTCCGGTATTCGATGACAATATTCCAGAAGAATTAGTAACATGTCCTGCAATATTGAAAGAAAAATCGCAAATGAAATTGTTTTGAAATTCTTGACTTTATTAAACAGTTATTTAATTGAAGTGCAGTGAAGATCTTTGTTTTCCAAGAACTTGGCGAGCATTGTTTAAACTTGACATCATTAATATTGTTGTTAGGTTATTTGCCTTTAAATTTTATAACTTTTCTTACTATAAAAAAGAACATACTCCTGGCAGAAAGCTGTTCTTGAATTTGGAGTTTTACAACAATCCCATTAGATTGCTTGCTTCCCAAATAAACTATAAAACTCCAAATTAAATGCAGATTAATTAATTTTTTTTCTCAAGTACACAACCATTCCAATTAAGCAATATTTCTTCTAAAATTCAGAAATTTTAAACAAAATGAAAAATTTACATGGATAAAATTTGTAGGATAACATATCGCATTTCTTTTATTTGAAAAAAAAAAAAAAAGAATATATATATATATATATATTAAATGGTAATCACTAGCCATTTCAGTACTTTCGCCACTAGAAGCAGTAGTTATATTATTATGGAGGCACCTAATAGTCGACCACCGTTGCCTGCTATGAAGAGACAGACAATTTACATCCATGTCTCCTCCAGGATTTGAGCCCGGGCCCTTCGGTACGGCAGATAAAGTCAAACCACTTTCCGTCTGGACAGCATTTGAAAATATGGTAGAAATATAAACTTACAGCAGGTAAACGGATTTCAAGGATTTCTGTAGCAGTTGGTCGCATATCTGGATCTCGTTGAAGAAGGTCTCGAATAAGTTGTTTGAATCCAGGTGAGTAATTTCCTTTAACTGGGGCAAATTGACCCTGTTAAAATAAGAACATTATTTAAAAGCATAACATACTAATATATTTATCTATTATTTTGTCATAATATATACACTTCAGGATATTTAATTTTTAATTGCAAGATAAACAAATTTTATTCCTACGATCAATAATTTAGTTTATACATAATTATACAGAAAATGTGAAATGTCGTGTAAGATATACAGTTTAACATTTATTTCATAAGATAAACTACTTTTATTAGAAATAGCTTTTCATAGCAATGCCATCGCCGGGACTTGAACTCCGGACCTCTCGAATACGCGCCGCGTGTGCTGATCACCCGGGTATGCCCGTTCTCATAAAGATTTCTATTAATGATGCACCGTATATTAATTTTGCCTTAATTGTTCTGAAAGGGACTACTTCTGGCCACTTGGAATGTTGGTCGACTAAACAGAGTACATATTTGTGCTTATGAGCTGATGGAGGTTCAGTTGGACCGGTGATATTAATGTTTATTGTGTCAAACGAAAATTCAAGTCTCTGAATTGAAGTTATTGGGTGTACGATCGCTGGTTCTTTCTCTACTTTATAACAAGTTCTACAATATTCTTCTATATCTTGCGACACGTTTGGCCAGTAAAATGAATAACGAATCCTTTATTTTGTTTTTCTATTGTGTGTGTTCTATTGTTACATGTGATATTATTAAGTATTTATCAAATTTATCCGTTTATTTATATAATCCCCGACTGGCAATAGGGATGTTATAAATTCGGGTCATTTTGTGAAGTAGCCAGCTTTTCCAAAGTTTGGTTCCAAAAAATGAATAGTTTCAAATAACGCTAAAAAATTCATTGTTAAGAATCAGAACTTCATGATGGCTATTTAAACTTGCAATAATATTTCAATTAAAAAATTAAATTAAAGTGGTGCTTTTGTACTTTACTTTTATCACTTATCTTAGAAAAAATATATTAGATAATAGCATAAGTTATATAATATATGTCATAAAAGTATTGAAAAATATAAAATGATCAAAACTGTTAAAAATAAAATAAAGCCATGCTTGTTATTTCAGTAAATAATTAATTTTTATCTAAACAAAACAGAACTTTCCATTAAATAATAGTTGGTAATTGTAGATAGCTTGACCTTAATAAAGAAAACAATTTATTATTAGAACTTATACAAAACAGCTCCGTATCAAAATCAAACTAAACCCATATTCTAGAGACAAAAAGCGTTTACTTACATTTACTTGTAAGTTTACTTATTTAGACATTTATTGGACTGTTATGACATTTAGAATTACAAAGTTTGCCTGATTTTTTTTACATTTGCACTTATCACACTTGCAGTGTCCCTTGCAAAAACATCGCTGATATCCCTGATCTCTAGAACAAGATGATTTTCCAACACATACTCGAAGTGATATTGCTAGATCTGGAACATCGATAAGCAAAATAAATTTTCTTCTCTGAAGTAATTTCTACCACTGTGAAAGGTTTCCTTAATTTGCTCCTAACAGATAAAACTCTCCGTTTTGAACTTCTAATATTTTCTAATAAATTTCCTGGATCCCTTCTAGCTCTGCATACATCTGGTACTCGTAGTTTCACAGTATCACCAACATTACCAGAAGAAAATTTAAGGTTTTAAACTCTCAACATCTTTATTGCCTTTTTTCTTTTCGCCATCGACGGAACAGCTGGCACACTGGATTAGGTGCTTTCCAGCCTGTTGGATCCCGTCGATGGAATTAAAAATAAATATATGAATAAATATAAATAAGGAGCTTAGTACTGTGTCCTCCGGGGATTGGCCACGAAACGAGGAACATTGAAATAAGGACCAGAACATGGAAAGGAGGTGCATGCTGTGGACTGCTGAAACTAAGCCGAACGCTTTTCACTATTATGGTACATGTTAGGCATACAGTTATATTAAAGATGTGCTATAATAATCAGGTACAGATGTAAAGATGATCAAATACATTACAAATTGTGGAATACATTAAATGAATTCTGCATTAATCCTAATACTAAATATAATTAAAAACAGAAAGAAAAAAAAAAAAAAAAAAAAAAACACGAGATATTCAGTAAATTAATATATGTACAGTGCGGGCTGCTGACGGCACGGTGTCCAAGGAAAGAAGTCACTCCAGGCTGTCAGCAGTGCTTTTAGCAATGGTAGTGCAGTCTCTAATGCGGCTGAGCGCATATTTATTCTTAATTGTGTTCTTGAACTTGCCGGCATATCGATTGCAGTTGGTCTTTTTAAATGTGAATTCCCTGTGTGCGAGCAGTCAAACAGATAGTGATCTGGGTCACCAGTATTGCCACAAATACATTGGTCACTGTCACTTAGATCTTTATTGCCTGTGATTCTACACTTTCTTAGCACTTATTCTATGTTTTCTAACTTGTTTTTGCCTGCTTAAAATATCTGTTTGGATAAAAAGAGCCGCTGCTTCACAAAGTTACAAATTTACGCTGAATCACAAAGTTAACTGCAGGTGGAAAATCATTTACCAATGCATTATTATTTTCCGCATTATAATCATCTTCTGTTTCGTTATTGGTGTTATCAGAAGCATAATTAACTATTTCGACTTAAGCCTGAAGCTCTTCTTCCGTTTTAAGATGTCGAATAGAGTCATTCAGGAAAGATGTTTCTGCTTTGACCGGCGTTCCTAACATTGCTTCATAAAGAGTATACTTAATGCCTTCATGAAATGCTCTCTTTTCATAAGTTGAGCAAAGCGTAAACCTTCGGACCTATATAATATTTACTAATTTTTTTGCTTTCCAATCAAGAACTTAGCGTATTTTCAACATCCTGGTTTGCACGCTTGACCAAACCTTGAGTCTGGTTGTGCCTAGGTTTTCCGTGCCCAGTTTTCAGATCCGGCCACATTAAGTTAGCTTCTTTCACGATCTGATTACTGAACTCACGACCGTTGTCACTTTGAAGTACACTGTGGGCTCCAAATATAATAAAAATAGCAATTAAATTATATGCAAGTTCTTATGCACGTTTCCTTTTTTAGAGCACGCAACTATGCGAACTTCATTAAGTGGTTTTGATAGACAAATATAAATATGAAATCTTTATCTGGTTGCGACTGCATTTCAATTAGGTCTACCTGGTATCTTGAATTCATCACTTGAAAAACCACTGGCCGAACAAGAAGTCCTTTCTTGGGTACTTTTGATTTCTTTTGACAACTTTCACACAAATTTAAGTAAAATCCTCACTGTTTCGGAAGTAATACTTTAGTCATTTTTTAAGTTCTTTTAACATTCTGTTTTTAACATCATGGCCTATTGATAAATGTGCCTCATGAATTACGTTAAAAAAGAGTTCTTCAAAGTATACATAAAATCCAACACTGGAGCTGTCTTCACTTACGAGAAAGATATGTTCTTCAACATTGCCTACTTTCATTAAGTCGTATCTTTTTCATGTTTGATAATCTTCCGGTTTTTTCCCACTACATTTGTTTTCACAATTATTCACAAGTCGTCATATCTTTCCTTCATTAAAAATCGCTGCTTGCTTTCTTAGTGTTCATAACATTAACTGACTTGTAATTAAGGCGTTCAAGCATATCGGCCATTATTCAATATTTTATAAAATACGTGGCGAAAAACCGTCTAGCAGGAACAATATTAGAAATACTATTGAAATCTCAATCCTACCTATGTCGTCAATCTATGCACAGACTAGTGCATCCGTCATCGACAAAGACGGGCAATAACGAAAATTTGGCGAACTCGCGTTGCTTAGCAGTGGTATACGTCATGACAGTAGCCACGCCGCTGTGCAAACTGAACGAATCTTGTTAAAGTTATCGATTTTCCCTATATTCCCCATTACCTAAAAAATCTCCAGTTGGGCATTTTATAAACAACCGGTAAATCTCAAAAATATTCCAACAATTTATCACATTTACCCAAATTTAGTGATGATTGTGCAAAATCACCTGATTAACCACATTTACCATAATATATATATATATATATGTGTTTGGTGCGCTCAGTTGCAAGAAAAAAAGTGACGTGTACAACTACTTGTTAAAACAGTCCCATATACAAAATTTCAACGTTCTACGGCTACTCTTTTTTTTTTTTTTTTTTTTGGAGTTATGCCAGATGCATACATATGTAAGTACGTAAAGACGTCACGAATTTTTTTTTCTGAATCCATTTTACAATCCGTTTTGGAAAAAAAAATCCTTTACTCTGTCCGTACTACAGATGCCACGCAAAAAAATCATTCAAATAGATTCGAGAGCGGTCAAAAATCATTCAAATGGATTCAAGAGATTTACTTCGTACAAAGAAGTAAAGATGTACAAACCTGGCTCAATCAATGCAAAGAAACTATGAACAAGGGGTTTATAATTGTTACAGGATTCTCTTGCAATAGGAAATTGAAAATAAGAAGAGTCGGAAAAAATGTTAAAATAAACTCAACCTACTATCAAGAGAAAGTTTTATGTCCGATATTTTCAAAAGAAATTTCATTTCTTTATCCCAACGACTTTCAAAGAGTGAAACTTCACCAAAGTCAAAGGAACAACTCATATTTTGAAAAATACCACTGCATTCCTTGAAACATTGAAGAGTGATTCACGTATTGCATAAATAGCTTTTCAACGTTTTCGTGCAAAGTCCCCTGGCGTTTCATCTATGGACCATTGAGACTCTGGTCTCTTGAAAAGAGCTCTTTCTAAGCGCAAACCCACAACATTTGATGGACTCTGGAAACTAGTGGAAGAGGAATGGAAATCAATACCCCTGAAAATTTTACATAAAGGCCTTCTATCACGGATGATGCAGATTTATGGTCTAGAAAAAAAGGCATCGAATCAAAATGATCGAGCATTAAAAACAATACTCTTCATATTATAAACTTAAATTAAACAGCTCCAAAATCGTCTAAAAATGTGTAAACACCCTCTGTAGATGAGTAGATCCACTTTTTTTATTATTATAAAAACTAATAGTTTAATGTTGGAAGATCTTCCTTTTTAGTATCAGAGGTAAGCTGTAGTAAAGCCAATGGTGATAGTTCTTGCTTTTCATTTCCAATATTGACCAATTGGGAAATATTTTAATGTACATATGATAGCTCCTCAGGCACGGAATATAATTAGTTAATCTCTGGATTCTAATTATTAAAAATTTAAATATATAATTATAAAAACATAAAAATCTTACCTTTACTATTTTATTTACGAGGGCAGGAAGATTAGAACCCTCAAAAGTTTTCTGCTGGCAAGCCATTTCATATAAGATGCATCCTAGAGCCCATATATCAGATTTTTGATTATAAAATTTGCCTTCACACTAAAAGAAAAATTTAATGAACAGTTATTCAATAAGAAACATTTAAAAACATATTTACTCTAATTATTTAAAGCACATACCATTTCTGGACTAATATAATATGGTGTTCCCACAACAGTCATAGCTCCACCTTGTTTGGTTGTCAGCATTTTAGATATTCCAAAATCACCAACTTTCACAGTGCCATCCTTAGTCAAGAAAATATTAGCTGTTTTCAGATCTCTGAAATATGCAGGGATTAATACTAAAATATCAAAAAGCAGCTACAGTGTGATTAACAGCACAATTTTTTTAATTATATAACATTAGACTTTTAAATTAACTGTATATTATGCATTTCAAATGAATTTTAAAAAATCTGTATTAATTTAAAAAAACAGTATAAAATATTCTCTGCTTGAAAAATAATGTTATCATACCTGTGAAGAATATTGTGATCATGCATATGCTTAATAGCAGATACAATCTGTTTGAACAACAACAGGATTTCTTTCTCATCAAGAGGGGTTTTCATTTGTGATAGATATTGGGCTAAATTCCTAGAAAAAAAGTCGTTTCTAAACATTTACTCATGCAAAAACAAACTAAATGTATGAATAGTTTCCAAAGAATTCAGGCATTTTCAAAGACCATGAAAATAAAAAATCATATAATATAATGTTTTGTAAATTTATATTGAAACAACAAAATGTACCCTCCATCTGCATATTCCATTTCAATCATCAGAATTCCATCTTCTTCAAAGCTATCATAATAGCTCACAATATTTTCATGATTCAATAAAGAAAGAACACTAACCTATAATATAAAATAACTGGATAGGATATTTCGGTTTGTATAGCAAAAAAAAAAAAAAAAAAAAAAAAAACCCTCTGAAGTCAAAATATAATACAATATTATCATAAAAATTCATACCATATGTAATTTTCAGTTACATAGTAATATCATTTATTTCATTTGTTTCATTTACCTAGCAAATTCATACAATATATAACTAACTAAAAATATGCTTTAGCATAATGACATATAATATTTAAAACATAATAAAAGTTTAATAAATTTATGAGGATCCTAGAAATGAAAAATTCAGGTTCTTTTCTTCAAGATTGTTTCAATATTTTAATGCATATGAAAAATCATTTTGAAAATTCAGAAAGTTGGTACTGAAATTACTGATACAAAGAAATTTTATTTCATTAATATAAAAATAAATCATAAAATTCAGCTAATATTTTTTCCTAGAATTCTCTCTGTGTTTCTGCTCTTTCATCTAACAATTTAGAATGGAATTTTGCCAGATATTAATGTTTAAATTTACATGCTTTTCTTTCATTTACAGCAGGCTCGGTCACACTGTAAAACTTTTTTTCCATTAAAAAGTGGTTTACATTGTAAACTGCAATAGTTTCGTTTATGAAATACGAGTAAAATTTGAAATAACATATTACATCGTACACTATTAGCAAATAACAATTATTTTTTTTATTACAAATGTATGCATTGTTTCAAATAATATGCATTGACAATGGTATACATCCAGAAATCCAAATGTATACCATTGTCAAATGGAAGAGCAAAAACAAATAATTACGTTTCTATGGCTTCTGTTATGGCAATGTTATTTCTAGAAATGGTAATGACCCCTTATGGTACAGAAAAAAAAAAAAAAAAAAAAAAGCGTTAATAGTAAATTGAGTTACTGATGTATACTATACAGGGTGATTCTAAATTGCTTTTACAAATTAAGAGGGGTGATAGTACTCATCCAGATGACCAATAATTACCATAGAACATAGGGTCACATTCCATCCTGAGAGGCAGAAAAGAGGACTATTAGAATTCCACAACAGTGTTGGGATAGCGAATGAACGGGACCAAAAATAGAGTAATCAGTTTAGTGAAAACCTCAGAAAGTGCACAAAACGGATAAAACCGAAAACTTGGCGTTCGAGCTCAGACTTCGATGGCAAACACTCAAATACACATCTTTGGTTCGCAAACGATTGCAACAAGTTAATTATCTAATCAAGGGCTGAATATTATCAACTAGCTCCAGCTTTTGCTGTATGTCGAGATAAGAATAAAAAGTTCATGCTGTGTTGAGGCTGTCAGAACTTCGTGTCCCATAGAAGGGCTCTTCAAATAGATGAACGCAGCACAGTAAGTCCAGAAGGAAGGATAGAAGATGGCGAAGTGGGAAAAAACTGCTGCCTTGATACTATAAAACCTACCTTGAATTGGAGTTAATAATATTCAACCCTTGATTAGATAATTAACTTGTTGCAATCGTTTCGAGGTTGAGACCTCGCGAACCAAAGATGCGTATTTGAGTGTTTGCCATCAAAGTCTGAGCTCGAATTAACCCTCGAACGCCAAATTTTCGGTTTTATCCGTTTTGTGCACTCTCTGTGAGTTTTCCACTAAACTGATTGCGCGACTTTTGGTCTCGTTCATTCGCTCTCCCAAGTTTCAGGTTGGAATTCTAATATTCCTCTTTTCTGCCTCTTAGAATGGAATGCGACCCTATGTTCTATGGTAATTATTGCTTATCTTGATGAGTACTATCACCCCTCTTAATTTATAAAAACAATTTAGAATCCCCCTGCATATAAAGCTTATTGAATAAAACTAAGAATTTACACTGAAAAAAATTTTTCTATTAAATAATTTACTTTTAATACACCATATGTGCAGACAGAAATTACTGGCTTCAGAATTTTATTTATTGATCAACACAAATGGATAAAAAAGCATTTTAAGTACTATTTTAGCTTTAGAAATTTAAAATATTAAATCAGTTTCTGTATTTTATATGTTATTTGTGTATCAGTTACACTTTCTTTATTCGTAACAACACTGTTTGCAAGCAATACCGCTGCCTGGATCATGAATTTTGTTTTACTGTAAAGAATAAATAAATAATGAATAAAAATTAATGTTTTCAGCAATAATTTCTTGCTTATATATCATAGATAAAAAAGATACCTCATTAATAGCCAACTGTCGTTCACTGGCCGTTAAATCATGCATATTTATTTCTTTAACAATTACTAATGAGTCATCATATTTCTTCCGATACAAGACAGCAGTTCCGAAGGCACCTAACAATATAAGCAAGTTCTAAGGAAAGATCACACATAAAACTAAATTAAGATCTAGCAAATTAATTTTAAATTATTAAACATAAAAATTTTTAAGGTAATAACTAGAAAATTAATTAAATCAATTTAGAATTAAAATAAATTGAAAAAATATCAGGCAATGAAAATTTAACGCAAACAAGCATTTTTTTTTTTTATTTTTAATTTTTTTTAAAATTTTTGTTTTAAATTTAAGATACATTTATATGCAATTTATTCTTCAAGAATTTTAAGTGAAAATTAAATGTAATAATCCCTTTCTTCCACAGTATGCAATCGACTTTTAAAGTTTCATAATATAAAAGGGTTGCAATTTTACTTCTAAAATACTAAAAGTAACCACCTTTCCTGCAAAACTGCCATTTAAATATTAATGATATAATAATAATTTTATAATACCCTAACTCAGATTTAAAATTCTTATTAGATTAATTCGCCCTTTAAAAGGGGGAGTATATAACGTATTTCTCCAGCCTTCCTAGCGTGCCTTCGTTGTTTGGTGGTCTGCACGCTGGGCCGTATTCCAAAGGTCCGTGGTTCAATTCCCGGAGAAGTCGTTGCTAATTTTTCATCTTGTCTGCTTCCAAAAAATACCTAATGTCTCTACAGCTTGATTATCATATTAATTAATTAATCAATATGGCTTTTACTTAATATTAAATCCTGACAGTGTGGAACATAATGCTGTTTAGCTAAGCCCTTTTTAACATCCATGAGAAAAACGTTTGCACAAGGTCTATAAAGCATTCCCTACTTCACCTACAAACTTTAAACTAACTACTTAAAGACTAACTGCTTTCTGATTTTAGCAAAGCTTGATAATAATTTTAGTTTAATTTAAATTTGTTGACATTAAAGTTACTCTTAATACAACATTATTCTTCAATTATTTATAGCCACATTTGAATATAGAAATAGGTAATGAAAGGGGGGGAATGACTAATTTTCCTTCTTAAAACTGAACTTTTTGATATTTTATATAAATGGTATCTTATGATATCAAAGATTCTTGCTGCCACTGAGGAAAACACAGCCTTGTTATATTGAGAATGCTATACTCTAATCTAAACATTCGATGGTGATAGGCATCTAATGACTGATTATTCAGGATCTTGCACAGATTCTGTCAGAAAGGAATTATCATTTCTTATGAGCTCATTATGTTTTAAAAGTTGCTTATGAATGAAGTGGTTTCTTAATTTAGCAATCCTAATACGTTATCATTGAGCTTTCATAATATAATAGAAATGTTATAATCTACAGATAATACAATCATAAAATGAGTATTCAAACGATCAAAGCACACAACTCAAAAGGGGAAACAATATCAAGTCAAAAGTTTTAAATAATAATAAATATATTTGCTAACTTTGCTTCTGTCATGAAAATTAGCCTTCTTTCTTCAAATAAATAAATAAATAAATGTTGATTGTTTTAGAGTAAAAATTAATTATTATCGACGACAATTTTAAATTCAGTTTTTTCCACAAATTATTCTTCCCCTTTATAATAAATAAAAAAATTAAAAATATGTCAGCTTAAGTCCTACTTAATTAGAAAATTCTGCTATATTTAAGTATTTGAAATATTAAGTTGTCGAAAGAACTTACCTTTGCCAACTGTTCTTATCTTTTCATAGCCAGATAAATTTTGTATATGACTTTGTAGAGATGAATTTAAGAATTCTTTCAGTTTTTCAGAATAAAAATATAACTCCATAACAGACCTAAATAAAATACGAATTAGATTAACTGCAGTAAAAGATTCATTTTCAGATAATAACCCTTTTATGTAACTGACAACCACATTATACTACCAAAAGCAATACTATTTGCTGAAAAGCCTGCTTACATACTTTAACTCCTTTCTGATAACAAGAACTAGTTGAAATAAAAAGATAATATGTTTTAGATGTTAATTAAAAAAATAAAATGATACTTTGAAAAATATTATTTGTTAATTAAATTCATCACATTTACTTTGGAGATATAATGCTTCTCTATTAATTTAGGATATATTCTGTTGCATGGATTGCCAATATTTAAATCAAATTGATTGTTAAAACCTAATGTTACGAATTTTGCATTTACATAGGTAATTTTAGTAGAATTATAATTAAAATTATGGCATTTTCCCGTGTAATGTAGCGCAAGACAAATTTTAAGAGCACCGGCAAGTTACATGTATGCCGAAAAAATAAGAATACAGAGGCACGTGCATTTAACATTGAGTAAATGGTAATTTGTACTTAAATTGCATAAATGTAATTTATCACTATGTTAGCTGTAACCATAATTCCCCCCTCGCATTGCTTTCCAGTAATTTCGAGAAGCAGAAAGTACTAGAAATATGTCGTGGCCAGTTGAAAACTATTTAAGGCCGAAGAGAGCATCTGCTCTCCGTTGCTTAGTTATTGTTGTTGCGAGTTGTTTAGTTCCGGGTGAAGTGAGATATCCGAGTTAGCTTTTTCTTTAGATGCACTTTGCATTGCGTTGTATTTAACGCTCTTAGTAGTTTGAAGTGTAACTACTGATTTAATTGAAGTGTAATTACTGATCTGTGTGATACTGTGAACACTTGTATGAATATTTCTGTTGAAAATTCCACAGTTCTGAAATATATCTTTTGACAAAAATATTTTTTATTAACATATTATCAGACTTGTGCATTCAATTTATTACGAACCCGTACACACGCAACAATAATTTAAAAAGAGCACCAAAGACTACTTTTTTACTTCCTTGTACGAAGTAAAAAGGAAGTATTGTAATCGCGAAAAGTTTCAGGCAGCATATTTCAACGAAAATATCCATTTTGACCGCTATCGACCGCAATGTTTTTGCGTGATATCTGTACGTAAGGAAAGAATAAAATACTCTTTTCCTCTAAAAAAATTATAAAACTGCTTTAAAATGAATTCTGTAGAGAATTTTTTGTGGTGTTTGTACGTACGTATGTATCTCGCATAACTCAAAAACGAGTAGCCTCAGAACGTTAAAATTTTGTATATAGGACTGCTATAACACGCCGATATGCACCTCGTATTTTGGTTGCAATCGGCCGCACCAAACGTATATAAATATATTTATATATATATATCCACTCTGTTACCCGGCTCAGTGATCTCAGTTTCTTTACTCTTATATATTTGTAATTGTACATTTTTTGCTTTAAAAATTATTGAATTCTGTTGTTCTTATCTTTGGGTTAAGGTTTTTATGCCTTTAGGAAATCTGCAAGCAATATTTGTAGACTTATCAACAAACAACAAGCTGTTTAAATGTGGTTAAGCCTAATCTTTAAATAACATGGACATATTTGTTTACATTTGAAACAGCAGAATAGCAGATTTGTTGCCAATCTAGAGAGACTAAACTTTGCAACAACGAAGATAACGCCTTCATTTATTATTGCGAATTAAATCATGCTTAATCCTTTCTGGAATTTTTTCGAGGAAACAAGTGTTTAAGATTTACTTCGTAATTTTTAATATAGATATTTTGAGTTTTTATGTATTTTTGCCTTGTCGCGAAGTGAGAACTGAGTTAATTGAATGAGAAATACTGAATCGTCCGTGAAAAACTGTTTCTTTTTTGTTTTGTTTGTTTAATTTTTTTTTATACATCGTTCTAGATTTATTATAGTATTTGAATACAACATGTGGCGATGATTAGATAATCATCCAAATGATATAAATTTTGTGCATTCTGAGTTTTAATATGATTCCCCAGCGTGGGCTGCTACTGTAGGAACTCATCGCGAAAAAATACAAAAAATTCAAAACAAGGCCATCCGAATAATTACAAATGCACCTTGGTTCGTACAAAACAGCACTCTTCACAATGACTTAAAAATTAAACCCACGGATTCTGAACTTCTAAAAGCTTCTCATAACTTTTTATGAAATGTGACAGTCATCCTAAGAATATCATAAAAAAACTAGGAAATTATGATTTCACAATTGAACAGCGCCACAAGAGGCCCCGCACTATTCACGATAATAGTCGGTGGTAATGTATGTATTTTCGTTTTCGTCTTATTTAGCCAAGATTTTACTTGATTTTCTTTACTTATAGATTTACTTATCAAATTACAAAGCGCTATGAACTTTGTTCCTTGCCAAAGCAGGTAGACTTTGTGGGTAAATAGTTTTTACTCTTGTGACACGTTTCAATGTACTGCAAATTATGTTTTTCATCATTTTACTTACCAATTATTGCTTATCAGAAGAACAATTTTTATGAAATTTTAAAACTGCCTTACAATACATCCTGCAAAAGATGGCGCAACCAGAGTTCCAATCAACTAAAGTGCTTTTGATCCCTACTAATAGATGGCGTCACACGAGCACCTCATTTGTTCAAAGTTTACTTATTCTACGGACGGTCGCACAGGAGCTTCCGTCGCTAGTAATCTCTGAGTTCTAGCATAGCATGTGTACAAGTACTTCCATATTATTGGATACAACTTAATCGATTCTTCAAGCATTTAAAAGTCAAGTATCATATATTGGTAAAGGCCGTTAATGGTCGATTGCCTCTTACTAAGTGATAAGACATAGACATAGTTTTAGTATGAACGAAATATAACGCTGTTAAGTGAACCTAGCGTCAGAGTGTGGCTATGGTAGTGAATTTTAAAGAGTGCATTTATTCTATTGCATCTTATGCGCTATCGACGAAGTAGATTTAATTCAATCCAATAAATGAAATGCAAGAAAAAATGCGTATAATTTAATATCCCGTACAAGGAAGTCATGTGGTGTACACATCAGATTTTTTATTCTAGTTTCAGCTGCTGTCATGCACATTAAAAAATTTAAATTCTATGAATTCCTTTTCTTTTTACAGTTTGCATACTTAATGATTTCAACATTGCTAACTCAAAACTCACTTCCACAAGAAAACCTTCATAATAGTTAATCTAGTAATGATACCATTTCCATCAAACTGAATGCTGATGTACACACATGATGCCAAATAACATCAGTTAAAGACAAGACACATTCTAATGATAGATAAAATTTTAATTACATATTCAACCCCAGATAATAAAATTTCAATCAAAGCAGATGATTTCATGCACAATTATAAAAAACCATTTAAATATAATATCAAATATATTTTAAAATACAGCATATAAAAATAGACATTTAAATTCATTTTGGAAACAATTTAAAATATAGACAATATGATGAACTATATACACAAGTTATAGCACAGTTAATGAGAATAAATAATTTATGGTTCTATTACAGTTAAAATCAAACTTAAAATTTGGTGTCCAATGCATGAATAGTGCGATCTCCAGCACATCGGTACTGCGCATCCAGCAGATGCATAATAAAGAACTGTTCTTGAACTGTTGCTAATTTTTTTTATTATTATTATTATTATTACACAGCGATTTAGGACAGCTTTCAATGACTGAAAAAATGCCTTTCCGCAAGATTACGCTCATTACGAGCAACTGTCAGAGTTTGAAAGAGGTCTATCATTGGATTTGAATATTGAAGCAGGTTGTCATATCACCGATTGAAATCACTCAGTCGTATGAGTTGCAAATCGTCATGCGAGTTAAAGCGATTAGAAGATGCTGGCAAGAATGGGTGGGCAATGGCAGATTTCTGTGTCATGACGGTAGCGGTCGACCTAGGGCCACAACAGATCGGGAGGACAGAGTAATTGTCAGATCAGCTTTCACAGCGTCTGATTCATCGCTATCAACCGTCAGATGTGCGACCCGCACACGAGTGTCCACCACGACCATTCACAGACGGCTGATAGAGTTGAATTCTAAGCTCCTACCGATCGTTACACCACCTGCCATTCACGCCTGCACGCTGTCGAGCTAGATTACAGTGGTGCTTGGCTCGACCAGTTTGGAATGATGCTGCCTGAGGACGTATAGTCTTTAGCGATGAATTCCGCTTCCAACTGTAGCGTGACAATCATCGAAGGAGTGTCTCGAGACGCTCCAGAGCAGCATGCCAATCCTGCTTTCACTATTGCACGCCACACAGGTCCTCAATCAGGAATTATGGTCTGGGGTACCATTTTCCTTGATAACCGGACTCTTTTGGTCGTCATTAGAAGCACACTTACAGAGGTAGGTTCACGACATTCTGAGACCTGTTTTGCTACCGTTCCTTTTGCAGTATCCTGGGCTTATTTTTCAGCAAGATAATGCCAATTACATACAGCATGTGTTGCTATGAATTATTTTACAACGTTTCAAAGACTTCCTTGGACAGCCAGATCGCCAGATCTTTCTCCCATCGAGCAAGTCAGGAAAATGATGGGAAGGCGACTGCACCTACCAGGAAATATTGATGACCTAGCTCGACAATTGGAGCAAATTTGGGAAGAAATACCGCAGAAGACCGTCCGGGAGCTTTATCAGTCTATGCCACGCTGTGTGGCAGCTTGCATCCAGGCTAGAGGTGGGTCAACACCTTATTGTGTTCTTACTTTGTAACTATGTAACTCTGAAATAAATCATTCAATTGTTCTGAAATTTTAATCATTTCCTACTCTGTACATAATTTTCCTATCCACCAATATTTGTCTCCATCGGACAATTTCTTCTTGGTGCGTCGATTTTTTTGTTATACAGAGTATTTTATTCGCAAGCATTCTCTTAATATGCCAATATCTCTTCCTCCCACCTGATCACACAGATACGGCTTAAACCGAACTGGGGAACGGCATCCCCTACACTTCTCCTGCATCGAAATTGAT